GAACAGAAAAAGAAGGATGGAGACAGTGGAAAAATACTCAAAATCAACTGCTTTCCAGCTAGCTCAGGTTTAAACTCATCTAAACTACCCCATTTAAACCTGCCCCTTTCTGTGTGATGGCAAATATAGTTCAACTTCTGCTCAGAAGTGGGACTTTATGTTAGACAAGCCTTTAATAAACTTTTGCAAATATAAACATTTTTGTCCCCTTCTGACTTGCCCATAGCAGTGAATACAGCTGGCTTCACAGGTAAGGGGATGCAAAAAATTAATCTAAATCATCATTAAATTAACTTCTTCATGTATGCAACTGGTGGAAAATCATCAAATCTATGACGATGTGGCATAAAATAGTTATAGGAAATTGTTTAGAATAAGCTGGAAAAATTTATTATACCTTATTACTGCTGTCACTCCAATAAGAGCTAACAACCTTCATACTCCCATCATGTCAGTATTTCATGAACACATTCTTTGTATTGGAGTTGACCAGGCTTGCCAGAAAAATATTCTCTCCTCGCTCAATCGGCATGAATGGTGATTTCCAAAACCGAAACGAGTGCAAATGAGCAAATGTAAGTTAATATGTATCAGATCTTTTCATTATATGTGCTATTTAAATGGACTATTTTATATCATGATCATTTGCTTGGTGAAGTAATAGAAGTGTTAAACTTTTTTGTAGAACTCTGGTGACGCATTGTCCATAAAAAGTTTGCAGATGAACATTCATTGCCTCCCCTTGAGCCACAATCACTTAATTACTCTTAGAGATCTTTAGATAAAAAACAGTATGAACCTGCTTCATGACTCAACCTATTCTCATTTAGTTCACAAATCAATCCACACCCAAAGCATCACTGACAATTTTATCCTGGGAAAAATCAGTGTTGATAATAGTGTTTGGGGCATGCTAAGATGTTTCTCTTTTCTCTTCTCTTCTCTTCTCTTCTCTTGTTTAATCATTTATCTATAAAAGCCCACACTGCCTTTAACAGCAGGCACAAAGCACGTGCAACCTAATAGTCACCATGTGAAACAGGAAAAAACATCTTCTGGGTGGAAAAGATCATGTTCCTAATTCTAATGTCACTGATACCTGTGCTTTTCTTGTGTACCTACAGAAAAGACATAGTCTGAACTTTTCATATGTACTGCACACTGACTTCAGATTTGGTATTTACGCACTCATTTTAAGAGGCTTGCTTTACTTCAGCTCCTTAGTTTTCCTTCTATACCTAGTAGAACAGGAATGGAAACGACCAATATTATCCCTATAAACCCTACACACAAGTACATCCGTACATGTGCATATATACCCAGCAGCTAATTCCCTAGGAATCTTGCTCCTGTGATACAAATCGGATTGCCCTTTCATACTTTGCTGCTCTTCTCTGTCCACACTTCCTTTTTACTCCAGGAAAGCAAAGAAGTTTTTACCCACCCATCATACTTTATCCACTCTTTGAAAGCTTCTCTTCTCAAGGCCTGTGCATATTGCGTTGGCACGCTACCAAAACCCGCTAACAAACGGCAGATTAAGTGGAAACACGGAAAAGAATTTCAAGCATGTATTATACTTGCCTGGAGTTCAGCGTGCAACTTTAACATGAGGGCTGCCCTCTAAACAGGGAGGCCTGGGAATTGAGCTGCAAAACAATTACAGATGCAAGGAAAATACCTTTCCTCTGAGAAAGAAACTTGATGATATTCTGCAGTCTTCAGTAGGCGAAGTTCACTGTGTGCTCTGGAAGGGCTCGGCATCATCTGTGCTTTCTCGAGACTTCAGTTTCCATCTCCAGCACTGTGCTTCGAGGGAGTTACATCACATTAAGGAGAATTTTTTGTATGTCAGCCTCTTAAAGATGCAGGAGCAGATTTTAATCTTTTCCATTCACAACCAGAACAGCCCCTCTATACCCATCTGCTGTCCTGCCTTGAATAATTCCTACCAGAATAATGAGGCACTCGATTCAGTTCTGCCAATCATTGGTAGTCATCAGCACCTGGACAATGCAACTTCTACTGTCATGCCTGTATATAGTTTAGTTATTTGTGTTTCCTTGATGAGCTATTTCAGCTGCATGGTTATCTTTCTCACCATTTAAAGTTCTGGTTTTAAAAGAGCCCTCTTTACAGCATCAAAGCAAAGATATTCAGAATGCAGTTTCCAAGCCTGCCTAGCAATGGCCCAGCCCCACTCAGAATGAATACGCTGGCAAAATTACCACTCAGGTGGGCACTGGTGAAACAACGTTGACCTTTAGCACAACAATTCTGTCCGTGTTATCTGAGATTTCCTTTTCTTTCCAAAACCAATCATCTGGAATGTTTGCATAGGGTGTACAGTAGAAAGAGACTCGCCCACCCCTGATTACACTAAACTTTTAAAACCTGCTCACATTACTCTAGCTCATTTACCTTCTGCACAGCTCCACTCTGCCACTCATCGCAAGGGATGTACTCTTCCCCTGTACTTGGCACTGGTGAGGCTGCACCTCGAGTGCTGTGTTCAGTTTTGGGCCCCTCACTACCAGAAAGACCTTGAGGTGCTGGAGCGTGTCCAGAGAAGGGCAACAAAGGTGGTGAAGGGTGTGGAGCACAAGTCTGATGGGGAGCGGCTGAGGGAGCTGGGGGTGTTTAGTCTGGAGAAGAGAAGGCTGAGGGAGACCTTATCACTCTCTACAACGACCTGAAAGGAGGGTGTAGCCAGGGGAGGTCAGTCTCTTCTCCCAAGGAACAAGCAATAGGACAAGAGGAAATGGCCTCAAGTTGTGCCAGGGGAGGTTTAGATTGGATGTGAGGAAAAACGTCTTCACCGAAAGGGTTGTCAAGCATTGGAAGAGGCTGCCCAGGGAAGTGGTGGAGTCCCCATCCCTGGAGGTATTTAAAAGCCGTATAGATGTCGTGCTTAGGGACGTAGTTTAGTGGTGGAGTTGGCAGTTGGACTCGACAATCTTAAAGGTCTTTTCCAACCTAAATGATTCTTTGATTCTATGAAAAGATCTTAGTCTACAGTTCAACAAATCAGTTGAGAACATAGGACCCGTGGATGGGAAATAGTTCCAATAAACCAGGACTGATGTTCTCAAGCTCACATGACGTAGTGTGCACATCCAGAGATCAGGAAACTTGTACGGGTAGCAATTCTCAAATCAAAAAGTAAAACATTTCTGCACTCCAGTGTTCCTCTAAAGCTGTGGGTCTCACTGTTGGCTTCAGAGGAACTTTTCTCTTACTGCCTCAACTAAAAGAAAAAGAAGATGGGACTTGATTTATGACCTTATACTGACTGGTTCAAATTCCTGCATAGTTTATCAACCCTAAAGAATTTTCAACTCTAACTAATCTGAGCTCATGACTGGCTTTGGAACTGCAACAATCATCCCAAAGCTAAGATTGATTATTACTGTCCAAAGATACAGAGTAATTAAGCCTACTGAAAATAAAGAAAAAACAACCCGAAACTTCTAAGAGGTGGTGACCAAAGAAAATTGAAGGAAAATAAACAGCATTGAGGATATTAATAAATCTGTTCTGTATCTGTATGTCTTTACAGGTAACTGAAATGAGACTGAAAGTGCAACCCAAGTATAGTATGAATACAAGAATGTCTGCATTGAAATTCCATAACTTTTCTTTATTCACTGTGATACATTCAAACAAAAGTGCTCCAGATAACAGCCATAAAGGAAATTAAAATAAAAAGGCAGAAAAAGACCATCAGATACATATGGTGATTATTCATATTTCAAAGCATTAGTAACTGCATGTATCTGAATGCACCAAAAACCCACATGAGGGTCCATGTTTTTGTACGCTGCACCTATAAAAATAATAATCATAGGCAGCTCTAGCAAAAAATGTTTTTCAGAACTAGAGCCAAAGCCATCACAAAGATAAAGCACCATCAGGCATATGTTTACAAATGCCATAGTAATTAGTAGAGTGTATGAAAGACTTAGCTGAAGTAACATTTTCCTTGTATTTGTATACCATAGGGAAGCTCTGCTTAGATTCACTCCTTCCCAGCTCTGCCATTTCACACCAGGGACTCACATTTGTCCCAAACCACCAAGTGCCAAGGGCAATTTGTTAAGCTTCAGGAGACAGTGAGAGATGGATGGAAGAGAAATTGGAACTGGAGCCAGTGTCTATCCTCCTATTTAAAAAAATAGTATTGGCGTGGCAACATGCACTTAACCATGTTACTGTAATAAAGTGGCACAATCCACCTGAGGAACACTGTTTATACAGACCACATTGACTTCCCAATGCTGTTTGCTGAGCTACAAGTATTTGGCTGCACTGATTTTACCTATAAAAAGCAGTTCTCGTTTTAAACTCCAGTTCCGCTATAGTAAAAATGTAAGTCAGTGTTATCTACAAGAGGCAGCAGAGCATCACTTTGCAGCAAACTCACATTGCACCCTATAATGTGGCTCTATTCCAGCTGCAGAATTACTGAAATGTGCATTTGCCAATTATTTGTAACTCAACAGTTTGATGGGGAGGAGTATTCGTATCTCAAACAATACAAGAAATGTAAGTCAAGATGCCGTACAAATTACACTGTCAAAGAGATAAAACAGGCAGACATTAAAAATCTAGGGTCCCTCTAACCAGTGTATTTTTAGGTAGAATGGCATGGATCTTCAACAAAAAGGGGGAAAACTCAGCAGAACCCTTGTCCTGTTCTCCCCTTCACCTGCCTTGCAGGCAGAAATTCAGATGGCTAGCAAGGGCAAAGACAGGCTTCCCCTCTAAAAATCTGAGTTGCTGACACGAGATTTTCCTTAAAAGATCTAAGTAGGTCATAACATAAACAAGCCTCTGTCCCCATACACTTTCTGTAACAGTGTATTCATAGGGATCCTGCTAGGTGCAAGGCTATGCCCCAGCTGCTATAAAGATTTAATCCCATGTATGATTTGTGTTTCCCAAAGCAGGATGCAATGGCACTGCTCATATGACCAACATCATCTTCACACTCAAGTCCTTGCAACATCAAGGTCTGCTTCCTCAAAAACCATTTTTCTTAACTATGTTACAAATGAAGTCTCAAATCACTCAGGCCGAAAGAAGGTTAGAAGTGTTAGGCAGTTATTTACCCTTCACGCTATTTGTGTGGCATTCATCTCCCGCAGCGCATGCCTTGCCCTTTTCACACTCCCTTTCTCATGCAGGAACACAAAGCTGTAATGTTTGGGTTGCAAACACCATTAAATGCCCCTCTTCAGCCCCCAACAGCATAGAAATATTTTCTTTTAAAAGTTCAGATCAAAGCATTTCCACTAATCCTAGGATTTATTAAAACAAACATTGTAGGCATGAGATAGTCAACAGCGTCCCTTTTATAAGATTCTTTGGAGACGGTTCTGATTTCGTAGTTTACTGATCCGCCTCTAGTTAATCTTCAGTTGCTCAGCTGCAAATTCAGCAAGTCCACCTGCACCTTCCCGCCCCAGCAGATGTTCTTTTCTCCCCAGTTTTGAGCTGTAATGACAGCACCCCACAGCCCCTGTCCTAAGAACAAGGTGGCTTGCTTGAAAAGCTATATATCACATCCCGAAGTTACAAGATCATATCACACACATTTGCAGCAGCAGTCTAGTCTTTCCTCAGATGAGTAATTAAAACCAGTCATTAAGTGCTTTCAAGGAGTTTCACTGTCTTTATCCTTCCCTGCAGTCAAGGTAGTTGCCTTTGATCCAGTAACAGATCTGTGCGTATTTGAGGGGTGTGATGCGAACAGCTACATTGAAATCCTGTGGGGTGCCATTCATGTCCACCCACTGATGGCCTGAAAATATTCCAATAATTTTACGCTCCCATTTGTGATTCTGCCTCTTCCACATCCTCACGTACACCCCAGATCCACTCGCACCTGGCTGGGCATCACATTGCTGGTACAACAGGTCATACGTTTCATCTTTGACATCACAGAAACGGTAAACCAGGTTTCCCGGACGATCATTGTCGTAGCCAGAGAAGTGAATCCTCCCTCCTGGCAAGTGTCTTGCTGGTGGGCTCACACCTATCTTCATAAACTTTCTTTTATGAGGCTTCTTCAACTCCAGCAGCGCATAGTCATAATCCATGCCAATGTCATTGGCATTGCCTTTGATCCATCCTTTGGGGACATGTGTCCGTTTCACTCGGATCCACTGGAATTTCATTTTCTCAGGCATTGCCGAGTTGGTGATATTGGCCCCTTTGCTGCCATCTTTCAGTTTGGGCTTTAAGAATCCCACCCGCAGTTTCTGAGCTCCTTTCACATAACTCTTGCCATCATGGATACAATGGGCAGCAGTAAGAACATGCTTTTCAGCCACCAGCGTCCCCGTGCAACCTGTAGACAGCTTCACCGATGTGGAGAATGGGTAATTCAATAAGAAGTCTTTCCCAAAAATGCTAAACCTGCTGTCATAACCATAAATCTGCCTCTTAGTTCGAGATTTGCCTTGAGACCCATCACCGCTGTTGCTCAGAATATATATGCCCACTTCAGTTTCAGTGAGGCTGCCATTAGCATACAAGGTTTCATAGGACAGGTAGTTCTTCACTTCTTCATAAGTTGGCAGCGGGGAACTTTTGTGGCAGGCTGGGCCACAGGGCGATACCACTTCCAGTCTGGCTTCAGCATCAAACTGTGGTTTGTGCAAGTTAAGGGTAGACTGTGGCAGGATAACTGGAACTCTGTAAGATGGCCAAGTTGGCTTCCAGTGAGAACTGGAGGGCATCACATCTTTAGCAGCACACAAAAGGAGGATTAAAGTGGACAAGCCTGCCATTCTGAATGTCGGTCTGCAGAAAGCAAAAGGAAGTCCAGTTATTCACCCAAACATGTTGCAAGATTAATCTACCTTGGTAAGTAAAGGCTTGCTAATCAAGTATAACATAATAAGGGTCAAGTGATTTGAATGGAGCCAACTATCATTAAGTACTTCAGATTTCTCAGTGTCAAACCAATGCCTTCACCTGTATCTTGAAACAAGTGTCCCAGGTTAACACTGAAACACAGGGCATTTAACCCTTAGGTGTGCTGAGCCACCAACTCCCAGTTGACATCAGTGGGAGTCTTCACATGGTGTAAAGAAAATTCAGACTGTGTAAATTCCTGCATTCAGAACCCATGGCTCCTGCAAAGTGTAAATGTGTCTGTCTTCAGCTAGATTACCGTGTTCTTTGAAAGCTCCCACCTACTCTCTAGCTCCACTGAGAGGGGTCCTTTAATCACCCCACACCGTCTGCTCTCTTAGCCAGAGACATCAAGGTGACGGTAGGAACAGGCAGGCAGACAAAGAAGGTAACCTGAACAGGAGCTGGGTTGCTGAACATGACCACACAGGAGACTCGCTTCCCCTTGCAACTCATACCAGAGGAAGGTTTTTGCTCCACGTAGCATTTGCTCTCCCCTAGGCTTACAAGAGAAAGCGTGACATGATTACACAAGGGCAGCTAATGAAGTAAGTTTACAATTCTTGATGGAATTTTCAGTTAACATACTGGCATATTCCTTTATAAACTCAATTAATTAGAAATGCAAACCAACCCCCTCTGAGCGCAGGGAGGCGAATGGGACTGTAAATGTGTTTATGAACCACAGGCAGAGTGCCTCAGACTGCAGAGAACAGCGTGTACTAGTACTGTGTCAAGAAAACGTGTAACTTTAGTTTATTTGAAAATTAGTCATACAGCTGAATCGCTGCGGGAGGCATTGCGCCCTGGGCAAGAAGGCAGGCAGGATCTCCCTCGCAAAAAGATTATTCAAACAAAACTTCACAATTATGTTGAGCTTACACATATTTAAAACCCTGCTGAGTTTACACTGATCACAACTGCAGGATCATTCCTGAAATACCTCAAACGAGTAAACCAAAGCAAATCATGCAGGAGATGACCACAGCTATCTAAGAATAAAAAAGAAAAATGCTTCTCTCCAACGCTTTTTGTAGGAATACTCCATCCCCAAGCTGCACTGAAAAAGACTTCAGAAGCTACAGACTGCTAAGGTCCCAAGGTGTCCAACTCAAATATTGGGCCTGAATTCTTCCATTGTTGGTAGCATCCTCTTTGGGAATGAAGGCTATAATTAAAGCACACAATGTTCAAAATATCAGTTGACTCATGCAGGATATCAAAACATTTCCATTCCAAAAAACAGGCGTAGATGAACAGAGCTGATGCTACCGATGTCCACAGAGGCAGGTACTGACTCTTCCAGAAGTAACCAGACATTCTGTTGGTAATTTTTCATTAACAAACAGGAAATCTTTAAAGGGATGTATTTTTTGTAGAAGGGTTAAGCTCTACAGAATGTGTTACTTTACACCTAACGGGCAAGTCACGCTGGAAAATATAGGCCATTTTAAACATGAATCAGGATTGCATAATTTTGCATGTCCCAAAATTGGAAAATACTTGCTTGTGTGTTCAAGGAAAACCATCAGCTCCTCTGGCTCCTTCCACGCCAGAGATTAATATTGGATGTGGTTGGGTTTTGCAAGCTGTGAAATGAGATAGTCTCACATTGGTAGAAGGATGGCCTAGGGAACATTTGCAGTCTATCAGATATACTCATTGTATAATAGTGATTAGGAAAACACAGAAAAAGAAGGTAATGGACAAATAATACCACTCCATCCCCATAAAGACAATATACACTAGCATAAGCCAACTGTTAACTGTCCTACTTGTGACAGTGAGGACTGTACGCAGAAATGTTTACTGGTCTCCCAGTTAGAAGCTGAGAACAGACTAAATCACTGTTATGCTGTGCATCAGGTAGCAGATCTCATCATTAAGAGCATCTATTTGTAAGCAGTCTGCTCTCATCTGCTTCACAGCAAAGTTAGTCCCACAAATTCCATTTGAAGCTTCCCTGATAGATGGAATCTCTGTCTAAATTGCACCATTCATGCCGCTTCTTGGATCTAAAAATCATTCATGCTAACTGAGCCAATGCTGGCCTTTGGCTGGTTTATTTAGTTGGCAGGGAAAAATTAGAAGTGCCTTGTCAGTTGTTATTTGCACAAGCAGCAAGATTCTCTCGTGCCTGTCAGCACAGCGACCTGATGAGGGGACTGCGTGCCGAACAACTTCTCTGCTTCCTCCGAGAGGATCATCAGGGCTGAAAAGAGAAATTACCTCTCCCTGCAACCTGCCCTCCCTTATCTCCCCACCATCACCACTGGCCAGCACTGGACAGGCGGTTTTAGACAGCAGAGGGCAGCCGCCCTATGAAGAGAACAAGACAGGAGCTGGGACGCAAATCGCTCCCCAAAACGGGTTCAGAAGATGGCATCTGTGTCTGTGCTGTCCTCTGTAAAGTGGTACGGACTCCGCTTGATGTCTCCAGGCAAGCCTTCCCACACCCCTCCCCTGCTGCTGCTGTGCTATGATCACATTGCAGATATATGGGATAGAAAAAGTCTTTTCATCAGTTACAGAACTTCTCTATTATTTAAAACGTTATTAAAACCTAACAAGAAAATACAGTTGTGGGTTTATGCCTGACTATCGAAGCTAAACAGTGCTCACAAACCAAGGCATTTATTGAAGTCTTCATTGTTATAGCTCATCTGGAGACGTAACTGGTACTAAACTAGCTCTGGGCTGCAACAAATGGAATAAATATGTCTTATTTGTAACAAGATGCCAAATCAGTGCATAGTACCTCTTTCTATGTAGATCCTTCCTCTTTAAAAAATAAATAGTTAAACAGAAAAACAAAGTAATTTTAAAAGTAGTCTAAATTTAAAGAGACACCTACCAGTTAGGCTCTTCTTTCCTTTTCCTTTCTCTTTTCCCTTTTCTTTAAAACAAAACCCAAAGGCTGCAACAAACAGGGTTAACACTCTCTATGTCCAGTGACTTACTCGTGGGTGACCCTGGAAGACGTTCTCAAATCGAACAAACTGGTAAGAAGCGAATACTTCCCTGAATGGCTATCACAAAACGATACTGAATGAATTACGATGTGCTGCTCTACTGTAGTGCTGCTCTTCTGTTTCTATTTAAACTGTGTCATAAACTCAATCCACCCTTTGACTCAGTACAAAACCCTGCTCTGATATCCAGCCTAGGAACCCCCTAGAAAGCGGTTTGTACATAATCACGCTTGCTAATGGCATTAAAATTGTTTAGAGAATGGAAACAGTGACAGCTACACAGCTACCCCAGGGCTGCCTGCGCCGCTAGAACACTTTACAGACACATTTTCCTGCCTGCTCTGGGCATTCACGCCTTGAGATAGATGTTGGTGAAAGAGAACTGCCTTGTTCAGGACAGACATGAATCATTTTCTAATAAGCAAGTAATTTTTCTGGAAAAGTTCACTACTTCAGGGGTGGTTATTGTAATAGATGGTTAAATAACAATAAATCTTGGAACATCCAGTATGAAAGTCCGTGAACTGAACAGTCTCAATTACATTTTGAAATGAAGAAAGTTTTTCCACAGTGCTGGAAGCCAGAACGATTAACATGGAAAAAAAAAAAAAAAACAAACTAAGAAAACCAAGACAGTGAGAGAGAAAAACTTGCCTCAAACCAAATTATAAAGGTGAACTAAATCACTGTCACTGCTGTGCCAAAATACCTCTGCTCTTTTCTTAGTCACAGAACTTGTTAAAACACAGCAAAAATAATTGAGTTGCACTTTAAGAATTACAGAAGCCTTACTGCCACTAAAATGTAACATCTCTATTAGCCTGCCCAGGATGCTGAGGGTGGTGGGAGAGTTACACTGCCTTACCCGCTAGACCGAGGGCTGTAAGAAGAGATGTCTCGGAAAACCCAAACCGAACTTTGATACTGCCAGGCCAAGGGTGTCCGTTAACATACACAACAGGCACAGCGGGTATTTTGACACGTGTGTCAGTGACACACGCACACACAGAGGAAAGATCGTAATATGTGTTTACCACTTAGCCCAATCCCATAGAATGATTTTACTAACCTCCTTTCACCCTCCTTCCTTTCCTCTTTCTCTCTCCCTGCATGTAAAGCAGCTTCGGTTTCACCGTACAAGAGCAAACTGTGTTAGAGGCAGGCAGTGACAGCCAACCCGAATAAAACGGTAAGCCGTAAGGAAGGCTATGCATCC